AGTAAAAATCTGGTTGCAATATATATTAATGTAATAAAATGTATTTTAAAGACGTATATACTATATAATACATAATAATATATTGTAATTGTGTGAGTATGTGTTAATATATATTACCACTTAACGTCAATGATGTAATTTTGGTAATAACGTAAGTGCCAAGACAACATCGATATACAATAACGTCAATGGCTAGGCTTTAGCAAATAATATGCATTCAATGTATTGTATAAATCAAATATATTTATAGTATAAACAACTTTGGGTATAGGTAAACACACAAATCAAATTAATTTTATTTAGTGGTACAACTGAATGTGTTATGCTACTTCGAATTACCCAAGTAGGGCATTATTTTTTTCCAAACACATCGATTACTTTTACAATCCGTTTTTAAAAATAAATCCATCTTTGTATATTATCGCCTTTTGGCTCTAAACTATTCCGTAGTCATCAGCATTCCGAAGGGCCTATTTGTTTCATATCTACCGACATTATGGATAACGTCACATTATCGATTCGTCACATCGTTCAGCAAAAACAACAATAGAAATTTGCAAAATTTGAAGTAGAACGTCGGCTGTTCAGTGTTCATCGAACCCGAAACGCATTACTACCTTAAACCTTTGTATTTGTACTTACCTTTGTATTACTACCTTTATATTTATTATGTAATATTACTATATTGGCATTGAGTGATAAAAGTTTTTGACAAAAAGTTAAATAAAGTGCCTATAACGATTTCACCATGTAGATATAATATGCTGTTAAAAAAACACGCAGTGCCTATACCACAACATATTACATTACAACGCGTCTTACAAATTTACAAATTTTATCTGTTATATATTATATATTATAATATAAATATGCGTATATATATTTCCAACCGATTTGGTCTTGTTTTTATTAGAGTCCTGTCAAGTTCGAGTCAACGTCACGCTCGCTATCGCATGATACTAATTTTTTTCAACAAGAATATTGCATTGTTATTATGAAACGATACAAAATATTAAATAATAACATCGCACCATCAATCTTCTTCTCGGTGGACAATACTAACGTTTAATTTCGTGTAAAAGTATTATATAATAATAATTCATCTGATTAAAAACGCGTATTAGGTGAATCCTTTGAGCCGCAACATATTATATATATATATATATATGTACATATTATATACTTGTAGATACTTTATATACATTTATATTATTTAGTATACACATTATAATACTTCGGTATTCAGAATAACGATCCATTGTTAAGGTCCAACCCTGTGTTGCTGTCGAACAAAAAAAAATACATTAATATTCAGCGAGGTTAATCATGATTGAAGTGACTAGGTCTATGAACGTGATGAATTGTTGTTGATTATTTTTAATATTTTCTATCTCTTTCTATCTTTCCTTCTTTTTCTCTCTCGTCACCCATCTAAATAACTGCTGAATAATACGTATATTACAATATGTGGTGGCCGTTATCAAAACGATAGGTACCTAACCTAACCTAACGTAGGTATGTGAATAGCCCCCCTTGGAGCTTTTTTTCTAAATTTAAGAATCCAAAGAGAGATATTGTTATTTGCTATAGAACAGGTATAACTCTAAACATATCTGAAAAGAGGGGGCGAACTATTCGTTGTATACAACATAAATATTTCTAAAAATAATTGACTGTTTACATCAATCAGCGTGTATAATGTGTATTGTGTACAATCAAATATGAGTTTAGAGCAATTATTATGATAATAAAATATGTCGTCCCTTTTTATTTTAAGACGGCGATGATTATACCGAGCAGCGCAGCTGCACTTTTTCTTAAACATTTTATTCTGAGATTGGAGTCAATTAGTAATAGTAATAATAAACGCTCAACTACCTATTCGAATTCGATTTGCGTTCCAATCGTTAAAAATGTTTAACCCCACGCGGCGTATGGCAGTATGGGTATACAGGGTGATCCATTTAACGTAAGACACTTTATCGTTTAACCATCTACTTTTCGTATAATAAGTGTCTTACGTTAAATGGATCACCCTGTATATGAGCGCGCTCAGTGGCAAAATTATTTTTGTTTAACGATATTCTTATTATTTATGCCATATTATGATTTAGAACATGTATAACTGTATAAGTACTCTATATATTATCCTGCGTCTCTATGATATCTGTCTTAACTACCAATCATTTCTTTAGGCAATATATCCTATTTAGTAATACATTAAGTTCTTCAAATTTACCCATTAGGTCTCATTCTATAGCTTATAGGTATAGGTATTATAATGTCTCTATTGTTAGTTTTAATTTCTAAAATCAGCAGTATTAGTATTGGTGGTACTAATTCGTGTTTATCTGTAGGCTAAAATATTGTTGAATGTTGAACTGATATTGGTGTGAAATCAAATTATTACAGCAATGGAAAAACAAATGCTGTCGTTTTATCACGATATATATTTACACCAGTCCCAAAATGATTGTCAGAAAACAATGCATACCTATACTATAGTCTATAATATAGTACCATATCAAGGATTTACCACTTATAATAATATGTATTAAATAGGTATAGGTTAGAATTACCATACGATAAATAAAAAAAATAGGTATCCATACACTTTGTATACCTATATATTATGTATGTACTCCCACGATGATATGACATTAAGATAATCGGTTAAAAGTACCCAGGTACCTATATAAATATATTGTATAATATATAATATATGTTGATACACAGCTATTGGCTATTGTGTGTACCGTGTAGGCACCTATACTTAAATGTTTTCGGCATAGATCAAGATGCTGTATAGTGTATAATATATAAACATATTAGAACATATTAGTAGTCTAACAAGATTAGGTAGGTAGGTATCTATATATTGTTATGCTTACACACTGCGGCTCGCGGCTTTATCACACACGTGACGTGTCAGATTATAAGTTTAGGTATTATATAAGACGTATATGGGTACAGTCATATCATATGATATATAATATATACGTAAGCCTACGACGGTCAGTTCTAGTTTCAAATTTCAAGTCAGCGGGAGTGAGGACTAGGGGCACAATTGTCGATGTTCAATTTGTATTTTGGATTATTTTTTTTTCTTAAGGACCAGTAGTCCACAGGAACAGGAACTAGAATAACTAACCTAAATCAAATCATGCCCAATGTCTATAACCCATATGGGTAATATATAGTATTATATTTAATAAGACACACTGCTCGCTCCCGACTTATATACATATAATTACAGGTATAAGTACCTAGTAAATATATACTATGTATACACTCAGAGTTCGCTCAATGGATTAAAAAATAAAAATGCGTTTCGTTGTAGACAGGGGCGTCATTTGGGGGGAGCAGGGTGTGCGACGGGACCATTAACATAATAGAGTAAATAATTGGACCTTCATTAATGCTCCTATGGGCTGATTTGATTACTATATAAAATTAATAAAATATTCATGCATGTAATATATATTTATTTTTTTATCAGCTTTATCATCAAATTTATCCCTATTTGATAGCCGTGTGAAGAGCGTTTCATTATATAAGATAGTTCGAGCCAGCTATAGTGGAGTAAGCAGTATACATAATAGGTATATTAGAACCCTTGATATCCACTGATTTAAATTTAAAAATAATTAATAATATTTATTTTGTAAGAATATTGAATAGTGTTTAGTTGTTTAAATACATTTATTAAAAAAAAATCCTTTATACCGCATTTGCTTTTTATTTCTCCAAATAGTAGTAAAATGGCTTCTGTTGGCCGCTAGTTGCTATACTTGTTCTAGTTGCTTATAAGCTTTTAATATATTGAACTGCTAGATATTTGAAAATTACAATATACACTAGTTGATATGAGTAATTTTAATTAGGATTATAAAAGGGGAGGAGATAATATTAACATACTTTAAACGGCATGGTTATTGTTTAAATATTAAATGTTAAAATTGGCCTGCCTAAAATCTTGCACACCAGGAAAATAACTGAAATGACGCCCCTGGTTGTAGACTACAAAATGTAGTTAAAAGTTTACTTTGCAGTAAACACACGTATGGTCCCAAAACTCTAAACAGTTATTTATGGATACTTTTATAATAACCACCTATAACAAAAAAAACCTATCCCTACCTAAATTATCAGAACGACTAATTGGCTAAAAACTATGGATATCAGATTAAAAAATACTCTGATAAAAATTAGAGTTATCAGAGAATTATCTCGCTACCTACCTAGAAAAAATTAATTTGAACCCAATCGCCATTGGCCTGATGAAACGTGGGTACCTACCTCAATATTCTATATAAATAATTTTTAGTTATTATGTCAATCAAGTCAAATATATTTACAGAATTAAAATTCGATTACCTATTCTATAAGTAAGAGTAATTTTTTTTAGGCATTTAGGTCTAAATCATGAAATAAATATGCTGCTTTAAATCTCTCAAGAATACTGAATGTGTTTTTCATAAGCAGTGATCAGGGGGGCTTACGGGGGCTTAGCCACCCCAAAAGCAGTCTGTCAATCCCCTCCTTTATTAGCTGTGTGGGAACAAAGCCCCTCCCACTCACATTAATGTTAATAATGTTAGCCTCCCCCTGAAATGTTAATGAATTTCCTTTATAATATCTTAGTCCGTGGTCAATTTTAACATTCAAAAACAGAACCTTGAAATATATTTTATTATGATTTCATGATAGTAGGTAAATGTATAGAGATAAACTGTTTTTTAAATATTAATTGAAATTTGTCATATTTTGAACTTTGAAGACTTTTGATTACTTAACAATACATTTAAAATGGTACACTATTGTTCCGTGTATGGATGTTACAATAAATGGAAACGTGAAAGTAATGTAGGATATCATTTGTAAGTGTGCTATTATTTTATAATATACTACATTATATAATATTAAAGTATATAATGGCATTATTATTATTTTATTTGTATATATTTCCTTTTAATGATCCAGAAAAAAGTAAACTGTGGATGAATGCAACTAAGTTGAAGTGTGCAAATCCTTCCAAACATACCAAAATTTGTAGCGAACATTTTATACCAACAGATTTTAGAATAAACCTTGGAGGATGTTATCGTCACCATTTAAAAAATGATGCTGCACCTTCAGTGAAATTGTCACCATCAAGTAGTTCTTCATCGCCACCTCAGTTGTCATCATCCTGTACTTCTTCATCACCACCAAAAAAAGTTCCTAGACTTGAATCAAATCAGTATTTATCACAATGTAGTTTGTCTTCGTCTACTCCAAACAACCTTCCTTCATTACCATTAATAAAGGAAGAACTCGAGACCATTAAGAAAGTCTACATATTTCGAACTATTATTTAGAAGAGAATAACTATTTTTGTAAAAACCAAGATGATTCTCCAAAATATTCAATTGATTATAAAATAAGCCCTAGTAAAGTAAACCAACCATTGTCTCCACCACGTCCTAAAAAAAAAATGGGTGCTGGTCTAGTTTACCCCCGCCAAGAAAATATTCCCCCCGCCACTCAAGTTTATTTGACGCCCGCCACTTAAATCTCTCGTGTTTTAGATTTTCTAGTCAATAATCAAAACTATAATTATAGATTATAGAATATTATAGATCAAACATTCATTCGGTATTTATAGATACATAATATATGTGAATAAATAAATCGTAAAAAAATTATTCACCACATAAGCTAATACATTTAAGCTAGATATATCTACAGGTGATTTAAATAAAAATAGATAAATAATGTACATAATATATGAATAAATAAATAGTAAAAAAAATATAAATCATTCACATATAATTTATATAAATAATAATGCAGAAAATAATAAAACATTATGCAGGTGGCCAAAATTCTGCTGTCCTTCAAAATTTCATTAAGGGGCCTGGTCGCGATTTTTCAAATTTTCCGCAATTCTATAAAATTTGAAAATTAAATTTTATATTTTAGTTGCCACCTCAATTATAAGACTTTTCCACTAATCTACTACCCAATACCTATTTAGGGGGGGTTTATAGGGTGTATTATATCGGTCAAAACACAGTTTATAGGAAAAACTCTCACACCTCATAGATTGGTCCGATTTCCGTAATTTTTTTTTGTTAGATAGAAGAATATTTTTTACAGGGCGCATTGGACTTTGATTTTTGATTACGTCGCTAAAAATAAATAATAATACAAAAACTAAAAAGTTGTAAAAATGGATTAAATTCAAACTTGTAATATAAGATTTCTAAAAATAATTTTGAAAATCCAAGTCCAATGCGCCCTGCAATACGTCTTCCTCTATTTAACAAAAAAAAAATTACGGAAATCAGACCAATCTACAAGGCATGAGAGTTTTTCCTGTAAGGCATGTTTTTGAGCAAAAAAACAGGTCGCGACCAGGCCCCTTAAATGGATCGCGGCCGTTTAATTTACTACGCCACGTAAACTCTGACTAATAAGAATCTAGGAAGTATCTAATTAGGGAATTTCATACGAATACCTAACGTGTGTAATTTCGTACCTTTTTATCTGCAGTATATACATTCTATATCGAATGACTAGGTAGAAAATTAAAAACGCGAGAGATTTAAGTGGAAGTCGTCAAACTAAACCTGAGTGGTAGGGGGAATATTTTCTAGGCGGGGGTCAACTAGACCAGTACCAAAAAATGTTTTATTTATGCTTGCGAGTCTAAATGGGCGTTGGAAATTACCAGTCGGCTATGTATTTCAAAATAAAGGAAGATTAAATCTTTTCTTACTCATTCATACAATTCAGGGTTAACTGTTTGTTCTGTTACTTGTGATGGAGCGTATACTAATTTTTCAATAATGAAGCTTTTAGGCTGCGAAATAAGGTACCATTAAATTTTCCTGTTGTTTGCCACATGTTAATGTTGGCCCGTAACACTTTAGGTAATAATTTTATTTATGAATCAGATAAACGCTTCATCAGATGGGATCACATCAAAAATTTACATGGTGTACAAAAAGAATTATTTTTAAAATTTAGTAATCAGCTTAGTTCAAAGCATATAAATTGGAAAAACAGTAAAATTTAAGTCTCCTATGCAGAGTCATATTTTCAAGTTCAACCGCAGACGGGCTTAAATACTTACAAAGTGTAAATTATCTTAATTTGTCTAATGTCAATGCGACTGTTGAATAATGTATGACAATTGATCGAATTTTTGACGTCCTAGACTCGAAAAGTAAATTTTCCAAAGGTTATTATATATGTCTATGATTGATACACACAACTCACTTACCATAATTTTAGCTGTTGCTATGATTATTGCTACTTTTACTGATTTATTTTTTTAATTATTATGACTTAATTGTTTCGATGTTACATGTTTTATTTATTCATTTACTCACTATTCTATTTTGTAATAATTATTTTTACATGTATTACTGACAAACCGAAAACGTCATATGTATATATATATATATATGTATGTATAAATAAATAAATAAAAATTATTATTATTGAAACCGAAAGCAACCATTTACAAGCAATCATTTCCATCGTAAATCTAAAAGTCCCTAATTGAGCTCCTCCCCGGGTTGGACCTCTAAATTACCCTTTTAAATTAGCCAGACTAGTGGTCTAATCTATCTCTACCAAATTTCATAGCAATCGGATGAACAGTGGAATGCATAAAGAAAACACAAACACTCATTTATATATATATATAGATTATTTATAGTGCACTAGTGCGTGTTAAATATATATCCCCCTAAATCCTAAATAATTCCTACATTTTTGGAGAAGTTAAAATCAAAAATTTAAAAACCTGGAAAAGTCGATCTCAAGTAGACTTGATGACCAATTTAAATTGGTTTTTAGAATTCTTATCAGTTCAGTAGATCAATCGGTACGTTGGAATGAAAACACGTCTAAATTCCTATGTTCCAGGTATGTTGGACATGTCAGAAAATCACCGCTTCCAATCCCTTTAAAGTACATAGACCTACTTAATGTCCTAATAATCAGCATTTGCCTTTATTTCTGTATAATAAAACTGAAGGCTGTAGCGCCTGTAGTATACTAATATCCATTTTGTAGGAATGAGGTACCTACGACCTACCTATACTTACTATGTAAGAATACAGATATGAGATATGCCTATCGTATACTTTTAGGTAGGTATATAAACAAATTGTCAGCAAAATGAGATATCTTCTTTTATATATACAGAAAATTATGTATAATATAGAATTTATGTATTAGGTACTTTATAAAATTACTAAGGTAACATTTAAAGTTCAAACATGCTGATTAATGAGTCCAATGTATTGCTTGTCTGTAGAGCTTCTTGTAAATCCTCTCGTGAGTTAGGCTTCACATTTAACCCTTTCAATTTGTGCCAATCATCAAATAATGCCAACATAATAGCTAATTCAGTAAAAATTAAAATAAATAATAGATAACTTAAAAAATTTTAATTTAATTATCACACCTTGTAAACGCTGCATGCGCAATGGTCTCTGAAATACTTCTTGTTTCAATTTATCTTCATTTGAAATCATCAATAAATACTCTTTTGTAAGTGATTCTCCATTTGTATTAGGATTGACTGATAGTTGTTTTATAGCATTAATAAGCTTCAATGTTTTGTCATTTTTTATGTCAGTTTTCAATTTCGAAACAATTGCATCAATCATCAATATTAAACTACCTTCTGCTATTTCTGTATACAATAAACATGTGTTTTCAATGAACTATAAATTATGTCAGGCAATCCAATAAACAAACCATAATTCATGTCCAATTTAATATTTTTCCTAGTAGCATCTCTACTGAAGTTGTCCTTGAGGATTGAAATCGCAGTTATATTGTCAGTCTTTATGTTTATTGATCCCCGACTAAAAAAATTACATAAGAGTAAGATTATATTTTAATCTAGGTTAATGGCACCCAAACATGATTAAATAAACTACCTATAAGCACATAATAAAACTGTATCTAATATTATCGATTCAAACGAATATTCCAAGTTTTCTTGAGAAGCTGGTTTCTCGGGGAACCCTGGCAAGCAGTTTGAAATCCACAAATGAGCTTCAGAAAGACTAAACCCACCGGACAATGTCATAAAACTCTGAGGCTGATACCTAAAAAGAATTTGTTTATGTAAGTATTTAAAATATTAATGATATCAGTATAATTATACCAATCATATTTTATCACTTTATTTAATTTAACTAAACAAAATTAATAATTATAATCTATAAGCGTACCTCCTTATAAAAGAAGTGTTAAAAATTCAAAATGTTCTTATTTAAAATATGGGTACCTAATGACTAATACTTATAACACAACTTACACTATATTTCTATTAGTTCTTTGATGATATAAAAGTGGCTTAATAGGAAATTTACAAACTTGACAACATTTAGGTTGTAGTAATGGTGTAATATAAAGAGTTAAAATTCCATGATCACCCTCATGTGACCACATTTTTAATTCTAATTTTGTAGTGTTTAACTGACATCTGTACGTAATCAATAATTTATTATTATCCTAAAAAAAAAATTTATATGAATATTTGTTTTAATATTTAACTCAGTATTAAATTTTTATTGGCAAATACAGTATAGGTACACTATACACGTATAGAGTACATATATTGTGATATTTTGCACATAATATTTTATCATGGAAAAAATAAATAAAATCTATGGTAACATACTACAATTTACTAATGAGGAATGAGGTGTTTCATTAACAAAATGTGAGGCTTAGCCTCAACTCTATAGTGTCAACCTGGCCTTGATAGATAGTAGGCAATCAACTTCAAGGTCTTATTAAAATTATTATTAAAAACTTATTAAATTTGTTGAAAATCTATAATTACAAATTTTTTAATTAAATAGGTAATGAAGCCGATGAATGAAGGTAAAAGCAAAATGAAACGTTTTATTTTTCTTATTTTGTCTGTATAAAAAAATTTTAAATCACTCAATTGCAATTAAATACATAATTTATTCAAAAAGTTCAAAACAATATATTTGGACATTTGAATATTTGATAAACAATACACATATACATTGATCTATTAGTATGAAAACTTTTGATCTTCGAGCTTTAGAAATTATGGCCATTAGATTATCGTGGGAGTTAAGGTTGGTTGAAGAAAATATTTTTATGTGGGGACTAAATCATTAAATAAATAATATAAGCTACTATACCTCTTCTTTACATTTACTCTTGCTCACTACAGCATTATTATTGTTTTCAACATCAATCAAATTAATTAAGCAATTGCATTGCAATAAAACATTATCAATAGTGGCTTCAAGTTCAATGATTAAATGATAAATTAAGTTTTCTGAATCCAAAAACATCTGTGAAAAAAAAGTATTTATAAATAATTTTTCATTTATATACTTTATTAACTTTACTTATTTTTAAAAATTATATATTATTCTCACCGAATTCTTAATAGCTAAATAAGGTAAAACAGAAGGTCTTGAACTTTTTTGCGTGAACTCCAAATATTTGTTTCTTTCTATAGCAACTTGTCTTTCCAGATCACTTACTTCAGTTCTACAAAACATTCTTAATTAGATTCAAATTAAATAATAACTAAATATTTTTTCCAATTTAAATGGTAAACATTACAAGAGTAAGTAAACTATAAATTATGTGTATTTAATACTAAAGCACAATGTTGTAAGATACTAGAACATAATATGTTTACCTTATATCTAATATTTTTTGTTTTTCATCATTTAAAATTATGTTTGATGATTCCAAAACAATTTCTTTATCAATATGTTGATCAACGAAAGTTAATCCAAAAAGCCAACCTAAAAAATTATACAATAATCATTATTTGAGTAATATAATATGTTGGGTAGTTAATTTAACTTAACCTGTAAAAGTTGTAACAACAATTTCTGGAATACCAAAACTTCTTATAGCTCCACCTTGAATTGAAGTTATACTTTCTGAACAACTCTAAAATAATATTAACATTTATAAACAACACATTGACAGTGGCTTAAAGTTATTAAATCTATTAAAATTACATATTTATATTTTTCAATAGGGACAGAATGTGATTCTAATGAATAAACCTCAACTGAACCACTTTGGCGACCGATTAGAAGATGATCATCTCCATTAAATTCATAACAATCAATACATGTTACGGCTCCTTGTTTTGATTGAGTTGCCAGTTCCCAAAGAATACTAGTAGAAGCATTTCTAATATTTAAATAATAAATTAATTCAAGTTTTAGAACTATTATAATATAATAATATTATCAGTATTTAAAATTAAAATATACTTTTCTATTTTAAGAAGTACAATATGACCACTTTGCAGTCCCACTAATACTTCATTTCCATATGAACCTCCATTGTTTTTCATTAAATGCAAACTAATTGGCTCTGATGATAAATAAAATGTTTCTTTTACAGTTGAACCTTCAAGTATTCTAATACATAAATCTGCACATGCTAGAATAGGCATTATACCTTGCATCTAAATAAATATGTATACCTACTTAGACAACAATCAATTTAAAAAAGTAATAATGATAGTTTATATACCTTGATTACATCTAATGTTATAATGCTATTAATTAATTCTGGGCATAAATAAGTGCTAATGTCTTTGCAATCATTAAAGTGACTAAATATATGTTTTCCCGATACCAACAGTTCATTTCCAGTCACATACCTGATAAAAAAATTTTTACAAATATTAAATTCATTACAGTTATTAATTCTGGTGATGATTAATTTGAAAAGTACCAACAAATATATTTTATGGAGTATAATTTATAATACAATTAATATTATAACCATTTACTTACAATTAATATGATCACAATAAACAAACTATAATTTTTTTTTAGAATCCACTCACATGCATTTAATTGATTCCAATAATCCAGTATCAAAACTAAGAAACATTCGACCCTTTTTAGTATAGCCACGAACAGATGTACCCATCGACAAAAATATTTTATCTTGAACAGTCCCTTTTAAGGTATTAATATCTTGATTAATAAACATGAAAATCAATTAGACTAATAAATAGATTAGATACCAAGAGCTCCTCCTAAACAAACTTCAGTTATTTTTTCTAAAGGTAGTGTTTTGAATAACATGTTAATTTTCCCTTTTCGAATTTGAAACATATGTACAATTCCTTCTTGATCGCCAACAATAATCTACGTTTAATTTAAAAATGAATGGTAAAAATAAATTATTTTTTGTTTTGATAGCACGTTACTTTTTGTGTCTTCTTTTCAGCTTCATCACTTTGAGAAATCGGCAAAACCTTCATGCAATTAGAAGAAACCATGCCTAACAATGTGTAATCTACTCTATAAAGCTCCATGTTTGATGTATTATAATATTATAGCATTATACTTTGAAAACATTTTTAAAAGATTAGTTAACTGATAAATGATAATGCAAGTTATGACTACATTAAGTGGTTGCTATGGATATAAAATTGTAAACATACCTAGTAAGAAGGGAAAATGTATCCCTTATTTTACTGTAATCCGTTGTATAAGTATTATAATAAACATGATTTTAACAAAAATGTAAAACAAATTGGTACTTCAACAAAACATTTATTTTTAATATTTTAACTTACTTCATATTGTTAAGTACAAATTGTTTATGTCATTTTCAATTAATAAAAATGAAGATTCTGTAACATCTGAAAGAATTTTGGTCACACTGCTTTCTGTGACTTCTGAAAACTCAGATTTATCTGAAACAAAATATAACTTATATTATGACTGATAGCATAAATAAAATAACCTTTAGATTCTTGTCATTCTAATAATATTATAGTAAATGTTTTAAAGAAGAGGTTTTCAGATAAAAAAATTTATCAATGATCATTAGGTTAGTTTTGATACGGAGTAATACCATTATAGGAACCATATCAACTAGTTCCATAACATTTCGTAATATTTCCATAAAAAATGTTTTAATTATAAATAATTTCTTAAAACATAACTTTTTAGTTCTATGATTAAGTTATATCTAACTCTAGAGGTTGTGGTTATTGGTTATAATATAAGAATCAAATACATTTTAACAGTTCAGATAAAACAGTAACTAAACAAGTACTAAACTTATAATTAATATGTTTATTATTACCTTTAAATACTAAGTGGCCGAACAATTCACAAGTTGCCGGAGAAAACTTATCCATACGTTTATCTCCTAGAAAATATATATTTACATTTTACTATTTTACATGAATAAAATAACTCAATAAGTAATCATATGAAAATACTATAGGTTTAAAAAAAATCATAAAAAATTAAAAAAAATTTAAATTTTCAAATTGTTAATTAACTAATATTATAAATAAATATGTATACAGAGCCAGCTTAAGGTATAGGCAAACTAGGCACTGACCTAGAGCAGCACTTTAGTAGGGGAGGAATTTACAAAATAGTGACCTATATTTATTATAAGTTAAATTATTTTAGGGGCGTCAAAATTTAATTTATGGCATTATATGTATGCCAATTTCCAAACTTGTAATAACATTTAAAATGTTGAAACATTTAAAAAAATAAAAATAAAAATAAATGATTATTCTTTAACAATGAAACAAGTTGCTTATATTGCTATTAAATATGGCGCATACTAATATACTAATAAGTTAAAATTTTAAAAAAAAGTGTCTTCTTAATTATTGAATCCTAACACAAGGATTAAAAATAATAAAAAATATTTAATAAATTGTATGACAAGTATTATAATTTATAATTTATCAGTTCAAGATAATTATTATTTTATATTTGTAGATTATAAGTAATAACATACAAATGATTGCCTTATGTATATATAATTTACCTGATGAAGTTCTTGCCCAAATAAAAACTCTTACACAATTCCTTGAATTATTAAAATCGTTGACATTTAAATCTTTAACTAGTGCTCGAGTAATAAAAATATTATGAGGAATATTTTTTTTCTGGAGGTAATTAATCATGATATAAACTGTCCTAAAATACATAAATAATGTTATTATTTATTACAAATAATAATTAATCAATTTTAATACAATCACTACACTTCAATATTGAATTTACTTGACAAAATTGGACAACAAGTCACTGCTTTTCAGTACAAATACAAATCCTTTGGAAGGATAATCTATAATCTTATGACAAGGACCACTAAATTGTTCTATATCCTGAAAAATATTAAATAATTATATTATATAATATATGTAATATGTATAATATATATTATTACTTAGGTACATATTCAAATAAGATTTTTTTTAACTTACACAATACTCAAGGTACATTTTATATTGTAAATAATACAAGTGTAAATGAAGATGGTTCACTGAAGCAAAAGCACATAAACTATTGAACCCAACGCGTATTGCCCTATAAATGTTAAAGGTATATAATAGTTTAATACCTTTGGATTAATATTATAAGGATGGCAACTTACGGAGATGCACTTAGGAGTAACAATTGAATTGCAATATTCAAACTATATTCATCAATAACTTGCGGTAGTTTACTATTGATTTTTGGTAAAATTAAAGAATGAAAGTCTCCTAAAGGACTTGTATTTATTGCCAAGGTATCATCTGTATCTAAATAAATCATACAATATTTATAATTAATCATTCTTAAAGTACTTTTGCATTCATAATATTTTTTTTAAATTATTATTTACTTATTCAGTTCAAAACAAAAGGATCTTTTATATAAAATTTTATATTTTTACTCAATATAAGTATCCCATGATTTAAAATGCATTGATGATTCTATATGATATTTATAAAAAAGGTAATAACAATAATAGTACCTATCCATTTATTAAAATATATACAATTGTATAGTTATACATTGTATATTTAGTCAATGACCTATCACATTTCTAAGTCTTGAATAATTATAGCAAAATGTTAAAGTATAAAAAAAATTTTACTTTTTAATTTTTTTTACAGCTAAAGCCTTTTGTTAATCTAGGTAGTTTATTTTTAATTTATTTTCTAATGATTGAAATAATTATTCCCCAAAACAATAGCTTAAAATATATATTAATGATATTTTATAATAAGTATTTGTCGAGGTATTTGTGTAATCTAAGGAAAAAACACTAAAATGTACCTATTTAAAGTTTAAGGTTAAAATATGATACCTACATAAACAAATGCACAAAATTCATTCATCAAGGAATATTGCAATGATAATCTGATAATTACACCATGCCTGAAGAATAGCAAAACAGAACAGCAGTGGTATAACTAGAGATTGTGGATCATATTTGAGTATACGCATAACAAGTGATGAATTTTATTTGGAATTAATGCAAATAATAATAATATTCAACAATAAATTCAAAACCAAATATATTTTAGAGACCCCCTACTCAGAAAATGTATGGTTGCATTTCAGAAATGAAGTACTAGTAAACTGATTGATGGTATATTTAAAATAAGCAGTTTAACTTACTAGAAGAAATACTTGATGCATAACTAAATTTGAATAAAAATTCTCCAGCATTAACTTTTGTAAAATTGAACAAATCATCGTTAAACGGTTCTAACACACTAGCAAATATGTTTGGCTTACGGCGTTTGGTACCTCTATCAATGTTCAACTGTAATAACAATATTTAATAAAAATAATAGTTAATTAAAACTTAGTTATTAATAAGTAGGTGAAATTACAATTTATATTTGTAGCATAGAGCAAAGGGTGGCAAATAGTGTACTACAGTCCAAAACTGGCGTGAGAAAGGTAGAAAACTGGACAGTCAATATCTAGGTATATTTTAATTTAAAATTATTTTCATATAAATTAATAGTAAAAAATAAATGTATATTTTAATTGATTTATGGTACTCTGGTAGGTATTTTAAATTGTTAATTTGAAATAACATGCCTGCAACAGTCGACAAAGTTGACAATTCAATACCTATAGAAACTTTATCAACTAATTTGCTGTAGCTTGCAAATCATTTTTAAGTAGGTATACTTGTCGATACTGGAAAAATAATGGATTTAAAAAAAAAATCTTAAAAATTGAAAAATTAAAATATAAATGTACAACTTTCATGTACTTATGAAATAATACTTATAGGAGATGCTAACATAAACAAGTAGATTAATCGTAACGTTGGCCAAATGTTAATGCATTTAATAATAAGGTACCTACATGACGCCAATTGGCGTTATCCTCAGTGAACCTTCTTGATACATATATGGAACAAATTTAATAGTTAATTTTTAAGATTTGGATACAAAAAAAAGCATTAGGTACCTATTACCTATTATAACATAATTTATTTTTCTGGACCTTGTTTATTTTATTATTTAATCATCCAGACTCTAATAAAAAAATACTTGCCGATCCCTGATAGATAATATAGATAATCTAATAAACTTACAACTGCGAGAAATCCATACTTTCCAGGCAACATGATTACATTTTCTTCTTTATATTTGTACCTAAATAGACCTTCATCTTCTTTTTCTCTCCATAGACTTTTTAAAGATTCATCAAATTTTGAATTGACAGACAATTTTTTCCATGATGTTGTAAATATTAAATCTTTGTCATTGTAATAAAACATTTCTTGACCAATAGATTTTTACCAGGTGACAGGTGTCCAGATAGATCTGAGTTTGTGAAATTCAAAATTTGACGTCAGTGATTTAAATAAGTAGTAACTACCTACTAACTAATATATTTAATACCTATTTATTTTATCTTTCTTATAACATATTATAATTATAATATAGCATTAAAAAAAAATCCCAAGGAAAGTTTAGCTCCAAAACTCGGTCAGCCTTAGTAGTTAGCATAGATAAAGAAGTAAGGCAGTTTGCACACTGTAAAAAGTTAAATTACGTAAACAGCTTAAAAAGTTTTATCACTATTACAGCATGCGTTTGACTATTATCAATAAGCATTCCATGTGATATGAAAAAAACAGCTGTTGATATTATGTAATTATTTAAAAATAAATAATTCATTAGGTAGGTCTTCCCATGGGTCTTCCTAGATTTTATAGGTAGTTATTTATTTATTTATTTAACCCCAATCGGCTATTCAAAGAGATACAATAACAAGTTCAATACAGAAAAATTACCATGATAAAAGTGATTAAGGTGATCTTACAGAAAAAACAAATGTGAAATAGGTACAGTAATTCCTAGTGTAATCTAACTAAATATTTACAAATACCTATATTAGTTATATTTTACTCCTTCTGGCAGGATAATACCAGATATATCCTACCTACTGTATAATATATGGTATTATCCTACAAAACATTTATCATTGATTGTTTTGATTTTATTGACATACCTACATACCTACATACCATGTATAATAACTGTTTGATTTAAAATCGATGGACAAAATTACCTTTTGATTTAAATCTATTATTAATTTAAAATGGGGATGTAATGTAGGTACTACCAGACTACCTACAAGATAGGAATGAGGGCTCCGCATTTTTTACTTGCCCGGGCACCGCAAAATATTGCTCCGGCACCGTAGGTACTTATACTCCCCGTCATCAGGTTAATGAATGTAGGTACCTACTTATCACTTTAAATCGTAAATACACGTCCTATATTACCATATATAAAATAAGACTTAATAAACATATTTAAGGTAGGTAGGTACGTCTTATAGTGTCTAACCTTCTTATGACCTTATAATATTATAAAATTATATCATTTTAAAAAGCGGGCAAGACAAGTATTATTATTGTTCTGTATGGTTGACGGTTGTACTTGTAGCCTGTAGGTAATCTCTCTGCTATAGGTACAAATAGTAAGTAGATGTGAAGTGCACATCGTCACTTTAATGGAAGTGCTAAATTTGAATCCAATAATAAATCGTTGTAAACTTGTACCTATAGGCAAGGCTGGGCAAGTCAACGTTTTTTTCTAACTCGTTAAGTTAAAAGTTACCCATATTTTTTATTTCGTCAACTCGTTAAGTTAAAAGTTAACTTTGAAAAAAAAATAACTTAACTTAGTGTAAAGTTAAAATTTGCTAATTTTCAAAAATAAAAAATTCCAGACACATAATAATATGGTTTATTAGATAGTTTTTCTTTACGTCCAAGAAAATTACTGCAGGGGAAATTTAAAATGATACATCAAAGTAAAAACACATTAAAAAATTTACATTATTCTTTGGACGAAAATTAACTTAATTTAGATATTTTTGAAACAAAATTAACTTGAAGTTAACACGTTAATCTAGAAAAAAGTAACTATTATTAAGTTTAAAGTTAATTTGAAAGAAAAAAGTAACGAGTTAATTAACTTAATTAAAATTAACTTAACGTTTACACTAAATTTTAATTTTTTACTCGTTAATGCCCAGCCTTACCATTGCCTATAGGTATCCACGATGAAAACGATTCTTAGTGGAAACGGTCGTCACTCGTTGGCCTATTATAATATTATGTCAACCAAATAAACACGTTGTATTGTATTTTCCTATGTTCAGGGATTTCGTCCATATTTTAAATTCATAGATATCCTTTTAAAAAATAATTGTGGCTTTATAATTATAAAGTAATTATATGTAAGAATAACGTGCGAGAACGGAGTAAATGTACTAAGCCATTAAGGTGAATTGGATGAGTGTAGAACTATATTGACGTATAGTACAAGCGAACATAATGATTAATGGCTAAGCGAATGCGGAATGGTGACCACAGGCGCAATTTCAACTTTCGACTTGGCGGGGTTGAATATATATTAAAGGCAAGCAGACCAATGCAATATAGCATTTCAAAATTGTATGTCCTAGGTTTTTGGGGGGCTACGGCTAAGTTTAGGGAGGAGCTTAGCCCCCAAATCCCCCCATTTTCGCCTATGTTGGTGACTTAACTAGTAGTTTGACAAGTCTGAGCTACAAATTCTGAATTCTGGTTTTACCAACATTCTTGACTTGTTAAAATTGTAGCCACGTGCCCACGTGAGCTTAAAAAAAAAACGTCACCCGATAAAGTAGGTACCTAGTTTTCTACCAAAAAATGTGATCTAGATGATGAATATAAAGTACCTACTCATAGTACTCATGTTATAAATTGTAATAAGACATAATTATATAGTATAGACTAGTAACTACAATAAAACTATTGAATTAAACCAAAAATTGGGAATTTCCGATTTTTATTGATGTGTAAACTTTCAAAAGCTTGTCCTCAATAATTTGGTAAATGTCACTCACCACACCTGTGCACTAGACCATTACCCTCGCTGTTTCATGTATATGTACCCATAAAACCATCTCTTCATCTCGAAATATTTTAAAGGCAAAATATGTAAATACAAATTCGTATAATTTCATGTCTCGATTCTTTGAAAAAAAAATAAAATTTTTTTAAGTAGGTACATAAGACCTAACTATATTTAATTTCTTGTTAAACATTTTTTAAAGAAGGTCATTCATATAATAATTTAAATTTAAATTCACGGGCATTTAATATTTTAATTTGTATTAAATGTTCGTGGTACTATACATTATACTTGTACGGGCACTGGCACGTACCTACCTCATAGTATTTTTACTATGTATGATGTACGATGTACACCTTCCTATAATAATAATATAATACATTATTTGGCAGAAACAAATTATTTACTAGAAATTCTAGGAAAGTAATATGACGACGTAGGTATATTATAAATTATAATATTAGTATGTTGTTGGTAGGTACTATAAACTATACTGTCTATACAACGCCTGTCACCTATATATTATAGGTACATTTAAATATTTAATTATGTTGTAAATTTGTAATACAGGTAATAATTAATTAATAAATAAGTATAAGTGCTTGGTAATATAGATACATATATTTTAAGAAAAAATAAAATAACTATAAAAAATATAAAAATGTTGATTTACTTTTAAGTTTTAAGCGTAAAATAATATGTCAGACAATGAACTTGAATGTCACGGTTAATCGGCTACATTCGACTGGTCACAAAAATATTATTGTTAAGATAAATTGAGACAAAACTCAACCAGTTTGATCGGTATAGTTATTAATCATTATTTTGTTTTTGTTTGTGAATCATTTTGTAATTAAAATAATATCATTTAACAACGGGATTTTTCCTGTTATATTGACGTACGTTTTTAATGAAAAGCATTAATTAGTGGTAATGGTGGTATGGTGTTATTGTGGTGACAGTGTGACATAATAGATATTAATTTGTTGCCACACTATATATTTTACACACTATTATACAACGATCAGAATAATTAGTCATCAAAATATTTTAATTTATTTCCTACCTTCATATAAATAATGAGAATTTGATAAAAATGATTAATATTAATTTTTGTTTAAACCTATATTATTATATATTGTACAAAGTAAATATTTTAAAGATTAACATTAAGTATAAAAAATATGGCCCTCATAATATTAGAAATGTTCTTTACTACTAGTACAGTATACAGGGGCGTAATTAATAGATCCCCCAAAACTCTTTTTTTACTACTAATATTTTGATCAAAGTTTTGATAATGACCATCCATGTTTGCTAAAAACGTATATCCCCCCCCCCCAAACCAAATTCCTAATTACGCCACTGATAATATAGGTATTAAACCTGCTAATAACTACAACCTACTAATAATTATTTTGCCCTATGGTAGTAATATCCACTGAAAAACTAAAAATAGATAAAAGTTATATCAATAGATTCATTAAGACTTGGAAGCATAGGCGCTACTAAGGTTAAAATTCTGGGGCCCTGGGGAGCTACAGCCCACATAACAAAACTATTAATTTAAAATAATCCATAGTTAGGTTAACCACAACAGGGTAATTATTTTAAATATAGGTATGTATGAGTTAATTATACAAATTTGATCAGAGTCCATTGATTATATTTGTTTTGTAAGTGTAGAACCCCGTGATTTAGAAAATCTGATAGGTATCTGCAATGTATCTATAAATTAGACTAATTCAATAAAATATTTTGCTGTATGTCAGCTTTCCAAGCAATTACAATAGATAACACGAAAACATGAATATTTGATATTTTTAAATTACCAATATGTACCCATATGTAGGTATAGATACGTCCAATTAATTAGTACCTATGCATAATGAGTAGAGTTAGGATGTTGATGACCTAAAAAACACACAAAAATGCCCTAAAAAAAATGCAAAAAATCCCTAAAAAAGTGCAAAAATGCCCTAAAAACTTCAAAAAATGACCTTAAAAATTATCTAAAATACTAATTAAGTGAGTGAAAAAACTTATTTATAAATAATAATTTTTATTAGAGATATGGGTATAATAATGGGTGTAATAGTAGAAGCATTTAAATAATTTATAAATAAATTTCAATATTAAAAATAAATTAAAAAGTAAAATATAAACAAAAATAAATTATATTAAAAATATTTTCATTATTAGTTTTAGGATGTTGATGTTATAATAATATTCATATTTCATATTGCGTTGTTGCACTGTACAATTAATATGGCCATCTAGCATTTCAGAGATGTTAGTTACAATTTTAAATCCATTATTCTTCAAAATGACATTCTCCTAATAGTCCAAATCCAAAGTTAGATTT